TTGTTGGCATTTTACACTGGTTGGTGGGTTCAGGAGAAGTTAATTGAGCCCAATCAACAGGGGGGCTGGTGCTGGTGTGAGCTCACAGACCGATAGCAGCCAATGGCCATTGCCAACCATTAGCCAATATCCTTGCCCCATGTTCCTTCTCTCCCAGAATAGCCTCTCCTACCTGGCCTCTCTGACATGCCTGGAGCAGTGTTGCCTTTGCCAGTGGTGAGAAGGAATGAACACCACAGGGAATTAGCGGTGGCAAAGCAAAATCTTGCTCTGATGGATTAAAGCCTAATGGCGGAAATCCTGCCTCTACGTAAATCAATGGTAAACCTCCCAGTTTCTCCCTTCCAGGGCTACTAATCCTATTGATATAAGGAATGGCAGTAGCCATCTCTGCCTTGGAGGAGAAACAATAGCTTTAAATATATATATTTAAAAAAAGGAGGCCAAAATATTCCAATGCATAGACAGGCATCAAGAACCACATTGTCTAGCCCTGGCCCTAGACACATGAGAAGTCTTTGAGAAGTAGCATTTCAAGTATAATATACTGCAAAGAAATATCCTGGGTTCATTATGCATAATTAACAGCTGTCATTTAATTACTGTGAAGATTAAGTCTAGCTTCTACACTGAGAGACCAATTAGAGGCAATTAGATTAGACAACACATACAGCCTTTCAGTCTCTAAATGAAATCCTATTCCCCCTGAAGAGAGAAAGGGGTAAACCTGAGTGTCATGAATGAGATGCAACCTGATTATAGATTCATAGATTCATAGAAGTCGGGTCGGAAGGGACCTTGTAGATCTTCAAGTCCGACCCCCTGCCTGGGCAGGAGAGAAAACCAGGCTCAAATGACCCCAGACAGGTAGACGTCTATCCTCCTCTTACAGACCCCCAGGGTAGGAACCATCACCACTTCCCTTGGAAGTTGGTTCCAGATCCTAGCCGCCCCGACTGTGAAGTAGTTTCTTTGGATGTCTAGTCTAAACCTACTCTCTAATAACTTGTGGCCATTATTCCTTGTTACCCCGGGGAGTGCTTGGGGGAACAAGGTCTCTCCCAAACCCTGCTGGTCCCCCCTAGTGAGTTTATAGATGGCCACCAGGTCCCCCTGCAGCCTTCTCTTGTGAAGGCTGAACAGGTTCAGGTCCCGTACCCTTTCCTCGTAGGGCCTGCCCTGCTGTCCCCAGATCATGTGAGTGGCCCTCCTCTGGACCCTCTCGATGCTGTCCACATCCCTCATGAAGTGCGGCGCCCAGAACTGGACACAGTACTCCAACTGCAGCCTGACCAGTGTCGCGTAGAGGGGGAGGATCACCTCCCTGGACCTTGTGATGCATCTGTGGATGCATGACAAGGTGTGGTTAGCCTTCCTGACCGCGTCCCCACACTGTCCGTCCATGTTCATTCTGGCATCAATAATGACTCTAAGATCTCTTTCTGCCACCGTGCTTTCGAGAAGGGAGTTCCCCAGCCTATAGGTATGCTGCTGGTTCTTACTGCCCAAGTGCAGCACCCTGCACTTGTCAGTATTTAATCCCATCCTATTTTCATTTGCCCACCCCTGTAACATGTCCAGGTCCTGCTGTAATTTGTCCTTCCCTACTAGCGTGCCCACCTCACCCCAAATCTTGGTATCATCAGCAAATTTAAACAGGCTGCTTTTCACCCCATTGTCCAAGTCACTAATAAAGAAATTGAACAGTGCAGGCCCAAGGACTGAGCCCTGGGGGACTCCACTGCCCACCTCCCTCCAAGTCAAAAAAGACCTGTCCACCACCACCCTCTGAGTACGACCCTTCAGCCAATTTGCTATCCATCTGACCATGTAGGCATCGATGCCACAGTCACCTAGTTTTTTAATGAGGATGGGGTGGGAGACAGTGTCAAAGGCCTTCCTGAAGTCCAAAAAGACTACATCCACGGCGACACCTGCATCCAGTGCTTTTGTGACCTGATTGTAGAAAGCAATCAGGTTGGTCTGACAGGACCTGCCCCTAATGAAACCGTGCTGGTTGCCCTTGAGCATCATCCCCGATGCCAGCCCATCACAGATGTGCTCCTTGATAATCTTCTCAAAGAGTTTCCCCAGGATTGAAGTAAGACTAACGGGTCTATAGTTGCCCGGTCCTCCCTCTTCCCTTTTTTAAAGATGGGGACCACATTGGCTATCTTCCAATTATCTGGCACCTGGCCAGAGCACCATGAGTGCTCGTAAAGCCATCCCAGGGGCCCCGCAATAACCCCTGCCGATTCCCTCAACTCCCTGGGGTGGAGAGCATCTGGACCTGCTGATTTGAACACGTCCAGCCACTCCAGAAGTTCCCTAACTCGGTCCTCCCTGACCTTAGGCCTGGCGGCGTATCTCCCGAGTCCGTCTGGAATCTTGGTCGGGGAGTCCCGGTCCCTGCACAAGAAATTGGAGGCGAACAATTTGTTAAAGAGGTCTGCCTTCTCCCCTGTTGAAACCACCTGATTGCCAAGCATATCCTGCAGGGACCCCACATTATCTGGTGCCTTCTTCATTCTCCCTATATTTTTAAAAAAGGACTTTTTATTATCTTTGATCCTTGATGCTAACCCTAGCTCCGTATGTGCCTTAGCTTTTCTAACAGCCCCCCTACAGACCCGAGCGGTGGAGGTATAGTCCTCTTTGGTGATAGCCCCTCCCTTCCACCAGGTGTACACCTCCTTTTTGGCAATCAGGCATTCATGAATGCCCTTGGTGAGCCAGGGGGGCTTTTGGGCACTCTTGCCCCCTTTGCTTCTTGTTGGGATTGTCACCCCTTGCGCTCTGAGTATCATCTCCTTAAGGAATGACCACTCATCTTGGGCACTGAGTTCCTCTATTCTTGAGGACCCCAGTGCTTCTCCCACTAATCTCCTCAACTCATTGAAGTTGGCCCTCTTAAAGTCTAGGGCTACTGCCTTGCTGCCAGCCCTTGACACCCTACACTGGATGATGAATTCCAGGAAGTGATGATCGCTATCACCCAGGTGGTCGAGGACCTGGAGCCCCCTTACCAGGTCGTCGCCTGTGGCCAGGACCAGGTCCAGCAGGGCATTCTCCCTGGTAGGACTGTGCACCTCCTGGGTTAAGTGGAGGTCCTGTATCTCAGCCAGGAACCTCCATGAGCGGTCCAACCTAGCTGACTGCTCCTCCCAGCAGATGTCCGGGTACTTTAGATCACCTATGACAACTACATCCCTTGCTTTAAGTGCCTCTGCAAGCTGACCTGAGAATTCGCAGTCCAGCTCTTCCCCTTGGTCAGAAGGTCTGTAGTAGACCCTCACCATTAAGTCCCTAGTAGATTTCCACGCTTAGATTTCCCCACTATAGCAACATACCTAGCAATCATGTGTAGATCCATGTGATGGCTACGTTGCTGTAGCATGTTGTACAGCAATGTAGCAATGTGCTGTAGGGCAATATGTACACGTGCCCAGAGAAACCTAGGGAATGCAAGTAGCTACTATTACAAATAACAGGAGGGGAAGGACACCTCGATTCCAGAGGAAGTGGGGTTCAGTCTGTGCCAATGCATGGGTTACCAGGGACATGCCAAAACCCTGCTCCCCCATGCTTTTGTGCGGGCTGGGAGTGGTCTGAGGCCTTTGGGGGCACGCGGCGGGCTGTGGCCAGCAACCCTGGCACGCGGGTCGGGGAATGCAGGCCGGCGGACTAGAATTAGGCACGGACGCGTAGCGGTTGATTAAAGATTATTTTACTTACACCATAGATGATTGCGGTGCAGGCAGGAAAAACTTGCTTGTGTTGCAGTTACAGACAGACACGTGGAGTTTGCTAGGCTCCACAACACGAACTCGAACAAGACCCGCAGAAAACTCGAGCCTCTTGAAATAACTCGGGCAGAGCTCTGAATACACACACACACAAAGCTTGCTAGGCTCCGTGGAACAAGCGTGCAGGGAAGGGGTTCGTCGAGGGATCGCGCTCGGCGACGGGGAGAGGCCAGAGGTTGATCAGATCCCTATAGCCTTCTTAAGGCACACGCTGGGTCCGTTAAGCTCCGCAGCGCTTAGAGTTCTTCACGAGACGTGAAGTCCTCCTCCTCCACGAGATGGTTGTGGAGTCCTCCAACTTGGGCGGAAACCGCTCAAGCCTCTTATACAGCTAGCAAGCCAATCACTAGCTGCCACGTGGGAATAATTTAGAACTGGCCAATAGTGGGGAACAAATTTGCATGCGAATGGTGGGAACTCCTTTGCACCGGGGTTTTCTCTTTGCAACTGAGAAATGCACCCTGCAAAGAAAGCTCCTCGTGGCGGGAAATAATTTAGCAGTGCCGAAGCGCGCGCGCACACAAAATCACACCCTTGGGTTGTGACAGCTTTCAACCCACTGGCCTCCTTTCCCTTGGCGTTCCAGAGACAACCATCAAGGACCTCAGACCATCCAGTGCTGTCATCTAGTGCCCCACTTTGCTTTTACAGAGACTCCAGTTGGGCATCACTCTTCTGCAGCAGTGCTGGAGCCCTTTGAAGGAGGCTCTCCTGATTTGGAACATATATACTTGGGATCATTTTCTATCTACCCTGGGATTTTATCTGCACTTTCCATCCCAAGAGATCTAGTTCCCCTAATCAGAGGCTCCCGTTACAAGCAGTCTAACCTAGGATTTTATCTTCCTTAGCCAAGAGGGGTGAATTCTTTGAAGTCTCTCCCTTCCCACACTTTGAGCCATGTTCCACCTTGGTAACTTTATCCCCTTCTATGGCGCCACTTCTGATTTACACCCATGTTGTCAAGAGCAGTCAGAGCCCAAGTAATGAGTTTCACTCTGGGCATGATCTTGTATCAGCAACTCCTTCAACTTCCAAGCCATCAATGAGCTGGAAGATGCAAGTTCCCAGTGTCAGGAAAGGAATTTATAATGCAACCCCATGGGCAGAAATGGAACAAGGTGCTCTTCTTCCTTGGTTGTCTAAGATCCAACTCTACACTTTAACCCTAACACATGCCCTTTCTATTGGCAGACAAATGTAGTGACCCACCAAGCATTGAGTTTGCTGAGTTTACCACAGAAAACTACATGGTGAGCAGTACAGCACGATATGCATGTGAATTTGACTACAGAAAGAGAAGTGGGTCATCAGGAGTGATTGCATGCAAGAACATATCTGGGCTCGTTCAATGGGAATACGACACCAAGTTTGAATGCATCCGTAAGTAATCACCCTTCCTCCTGCTAAATAGAAGCACATTTCTTCTATAACTGAATGTGATGGCTGCACAAGTAATTTCCAATTAATTTTGGTATGATAAGTGGCCGTGATTCACTGCTGTAGTGAACTGCACTCTACATTATGGTCTCCCCCAAATAAACCTTCCTGATACTGGCTCCCATTGACATTACAACCCTAATGGAATCCAAAGTGTTTATATGACATTAAAACAAAGGGTTTCACATATTAGTTGCTTGCAGAAGAAACAAAATTTACCAACCTAATGTGGCAGGGCACTTGGGGTAGGACTGCAAATCTGGAGCACCACCACAGAGAGGACACATGAAGCAGTCTGGAGGTTTGGATAGGAACTAAGGGGATGGAGGAGGTTCCTAGGGACCAGGTTGGGACCCAGGTGAGCCCAGAGCAAGGGGCTCAGTATGTAAGACCTACTCTGAGGCTCAGATCAGCTCAGAGACAGAGGCTGAGAGATTAAGAGATCTGCTGAGTAGCCTCAGAGAATGGACCTGAGGAGCCTGAGAGAGTGGACCTGTGAGAGGGGCCCGGAGCTCTCAACTGGCCCAAGGTGGGGTTAGGGCATATGAGAAGCAAAAGGCACAGGTGTGGCTACAGCCAGAGAGGAAGGGGGCAGAGAAACTGAGGCCCATAATGAGGGTGGCAGTGATAGGGCCATCAGAAGTGGACGAGGGTCTGAGAAAGAGAGAGCCAGGGGTAGCCTGAAAGAGGGAGGGGGCTGAGCCCAGGTGGGGGCTGCATAGAAGCCAGTGAAGACCCGGGGCTGAGAGAAGAAAGAGCCAGAGACAAAGGAGCCCTGAGTAAAGGGCGACATCTGTAAAGGACCAAAATTGCTTGTAGCCAGAGTTTTGGACAGGGACAGCATGGACAGCATGGCTCTGGGTGACAGAGGCCAGGACCTAAGCTGGTTCTGGGTATGACCAAAAACTGCAACTTACTGGGGCTTGAGAGTCATAGTAGTGGGACTGCTTGCTCATGGCAGAGTAGCCCTAAGGAAGTGCCACTGGGGTCAAACCCCAGGGAAGGGCGAGTCTTGGGTACCCTAAAACCTCAGCCCCCACTACCTTCCTGCTTATCTCTTGATAGGCAAAGACTAGGGGAGCACACCCTGAAATAAAAGCAGGAGCAGGACCAGATAGTCTAGAGGCTCAGGCAAAGGTCCAAGGAAGAGCAAGACCAGAAGATCCAGAGGCCCAGAGTGAGGTCTAGAGACAGAGTGAGGGCCAGGGAGGGACTGAGGCAGACCAAGACAAGAAGGGTCCAGAGGCCCAGGAAGGAGCTGAGAGCGAGTGGGACCAGGAGGGTCCAGTGGCCCAGCGAGGGGCCAGGAATAATATAGTAGGACCAGAAAGGTCCAGTGGCCCAGCGAGGGGCCAGGAATAATGTAGTAGGACCAGAAGGGTCCAGCGACCCAGTGAAAGGCTGGAAATAGTGAGGTCAAGAGAGAGACCAGGAGGCCTGGCATCCTCAGAAAGGCACCATGCATCTGTAGAGCTGAATAAGAGGATGAGCTGTCTTAAGACCCAGGAAGGAGCCACATGAGGGACCAAGGGACCTGGCAGCTTAAAGTGGAGTCATATGAGGGACTGAGGAACCTGAGGACTGTGTGACAGACCAAGGGTCTGAGGGCCCAGAAGAGGGCTGCATGGGTGTAGGCATGTGACAAAAAGAACATCCATGATGATGCCATCTGTGAGGCATGGGACATGGTGTAGGGGAGGTATGGAACCATGCAGTCAGCCTATAAGGCCAAGGACCACAGCTACCAGGTGGTCACTAAAGCAAGACCAGGTCTGGGAAGCCCAGGGGAAGCCTCCCTTTTATAACCATAAAAGACATCAAGAGGTGGAGGTGAGTGAAGGGGAGACTGTTCCCAGAGTGAGCAGGGCAAAAAGGGGTTTTGGGGGGGAGTTATAGCCACCCCTAAGGATGCCACCCTGCTACACCTAGAGTCACAGCAAAGGGCTTATGATCTGATATATGCATGGTGCCTTTTTGAGGAGAGTGCTTCAATTGGGAACAAACAGAGATGATACCAGACTTTTGCTTTGAGCTTTGGGGTAATTTGGAAATTTAGGACACCGAAAACCATGCAAGTCACCCACAAGATACACAAGCTGAGTAACAACCCTCCAGGGACGTAGTCTGAGCAAAGGGAAGAGGACTTTCTCTTAGCTCAGACCTACTTCATTGCATCGCTGCTGCTTCTGCAGTTCACCCTCTTACCACAATCAGTCCTTGTGCCTAACAACATTGCTCAGGTGTTTGGAGGTTAGTCTTGCTGGTCCCTTGGGGAAGCTGGCCACATGGCAAAGAGGGAATTGCACTACCGCATCTCCTTCCATCACACGCTCATTCTGGTTCAACAGGGACTAGAACTTCCCTTTTCCTGATGATGCCATGAGTTATTTTGAAATTTTTCAACTTGATCTGATGCAGGGAATATGTATCTGTGTCCACATCCCTAGAGACAGGCCTGTGATTTCAGCCTTATTTGCCAGGAGTCCTGAGGCTTGATCGTGATATGTGATTCCCATTATATAGTCATGAACATGTTTAAAGCCAAATGCTGGGGCCAGTCACATGCATTCAGCTGCCAAAAGCAGAGAGGCACCTCTCCTGACTTAAACTGAATTGCACCATGGCTGAATGTGTCCTGTGTACATGTATTTTGGATGGGACGTAGATTTAGGGAGAACATCTCTAGTAAGGCATGTTCCAGCTCTGTGATAACGATGCAGCCTATGTGCCTCATTTAGTTCCTCTGTCTCGAATCCTGTCATTCACTGTTAAACAACACATGAACCCACCTAAATGTATTGGGCAGAAGCATCTCAACCACTCAACAGATTTGATCAACCAGTAGTTATTAGGCAAAACTTGCCCGTAGTGTCCAGTTATTTAAAAACAGCAGGCACAAGGGGATGCTTCCACAAGCTCCTCTGGTAGGTTGAATATTTATATAATCTTTCCATTATCTTTCTTTTTATCTACCAATATATATTAGCCCCTAAAATTCTCTGTTAACTCTCCTTCCTGTTCAGTACACATTCTGTATTAAACTGACCCAGATTTTTCTGGCTTTAGGATCAGCCGTAACTTTTTTGTTCCATTACAATTATATGCTCACTTGCCATTCCTTATGCATACATGGTCCTCTTCATGCTAAGATTGGTTAGAAAGCCATTAGTTCATAGCAGGCTCTTTTGACCTTAAATAGGCCATTACTCCCAACAATAAGGATAAGGAAACCATTACTTTTCCCTTCAAAGCAAGGGAAAATTGATGCTAAATAGGAGAAAAACTTCCTTGCACAGAGATGCAATGTACTGAGCTGGAAAATAGCCTCTCCAGAGAAATTCTGGAAACCCTGTTGCTAGCATAATTTAAAACTAGGACCTAAAGGGACACAGGAGTTGCTGTACTGGATGCGGCCAGTTATCCCCCTCATCCTGTATCTTGTCTCAGCAATGATCAAAAGCCAATGGTATAAGACCCCCATAGTGCAGAACTAAAGAAAAGCAGGGCTTCTCGGGAGGGCATTTAGTCCAACTCCCTGCTCAAGTCAGGATCATCCCCAATCTAAGACATTTTAGACAACCCGAACACAAACCATCAGAGATACCACAACCTCCCTAAGCAGCCGGTTCCAGCGTTTAATCATTTTCACGCTTAGGATATTCTTCCTAATAACTAACCTTGGTGTCCCTTCTGACAGCGTAGATAGTAAATGTGGAATAATATGCCTCTCTATATCCTTCACCCCGTGTGCTATAAGGAACAATCCTGCATTGGCCGGAGCACACGAGGTAACTTAGCATTGCCTGTACATTTCTTGCTATTCTGATTGTGTAACACATCAGGCGTCTGTATAGAGAAGACTAATTTTAATCTTGCCCACAGATATCTCCAACTTGTCCTCATTTCCAAGCCTCCCAGAAAGAACAAGGAGCAGCAGGCCTGAGACCTCACAAGCTGTAAAACAACTTGCGCCAAAAGGTAAAACATGCAGCAATCCCTGCTTATCCTAATCGTGCTCCCAATGACGTGAATGGGAGTTGAGGAAAGCCAGTGTCTGGCCCTATATAAATTCCCACCCTTCCACTGCTTCAGTATTATAGTATACAGCTGCCGATTCAGAACTTGTTCTCATAACCCTGGCTTGTTAGGAGTAATAACAAACTAGTGTTTTTTCTTGTCTGGCATAAGGATGAAGGGAAAGCACCTGACATTGTGACATCCGGCCATTGCGGGTGCGGGCATGGACCAGGTTCTGTCTTACCTGGCACCTTTGTTTCTCCTCGGCAGACAATCTGATTCAAACTGCAGTTGGACTTGCAGAAATTAAAAATTTGGGGTGTCTATCACCCCTTTCCTGGACAGCTTACAAGGCTGCTGTGTTTGGAGCTGAGCACTGCATCCTGCATACACGGAGTATTTAACCACCTTTTGACTCTGTTGTCTGCTGTTCATTCCCAAGGTGCAGATCCCCTGTCTATTGCTCAGACGTGCGGTCTCATGTTCCAGGTGCCGTAGGGCCTGCGACAAACGATGGATCCCTGCATCTCCCTATTAATGTAATGTGCCCTTTCCCTGACCAAGAATAGTCTCTTTGCTTTGAGCAAATAGATGTCCCGGGGTAACAAATGGATGCATGACACCTACAGTAATGTAATTTTACCCCTGTTTTTTTCTGGATTCATTACACTGTATTCTGGTGTGTTACTTTGGGAGACTATATACCTTGCTTATAATAGTGTAAATGGGTAGTTCCTTCCATCCGTGGGCCAAGATATGCAACCAGAGTAGACAAACCCATCGAATTAAATCAAGCCTCTTTTCAGCTTCTTGATCAAATGAGACTCTTTCAAGTTACGACCTCTTAGGGTGTTTGTAGATGTGCTCCAGGAGGCGGGGGCTAGGGGTGCTTTAATTAGTCCAGGTCAAAGAGCCACACTAATTAAAAGCACCCGGAGCGGCACATGTAACAACCCCCCTGTGCTGAAAAATGGCGGCGGGGTGCTTTGAACTAAAGCTCATTGAACGAGCTTTAGTTTAAAGGGCCCCACCGCCATTTTTCAGTGCAAGGATGCTGATACATGTGACACTGGAGTCTTGTCGCAGCAGGGACCCAACAGTAACCTAAGAACGATTGAATTAATGAAACTATATTACTAATTACCATTCTCCACGAGACTCGATTAATCGAGTCTGTTCCGACGCGGTGTAATTACGGCATGTCGGAGCAGCCTCCCTGCATGGGTAGAGGAGCTCTTAGCATGGAGCTGAGCAGTGGTCCATATGAAAGCAGCTCTGTGCCCCACTGCTCTCAAGTTAGTGTATTTAAGAACTATTGGAAAATAAGTTTAATCCAGTTTAACTGTCTCTGAAGTGATGTGTCTGTCTGAATATTTTTTATATGGAAAACAAGAACCAATGACAAAAAGTATTGGAGAGAGACATTCATTCGTCTGCTTTAACAATCGATTCACCCTGGTGGTTGCCGGGTCTGTCAGCTCTTTGTTTTATGAAATAACTTGATCTGGATGAATCGGTACCAAGTGGTCAGTGTAAGCATTTCTGTATCATCTCAAAGAATCAAGAGAGTCTTGGTTTCGTCATGTGTACACGGTTTGTGCCTGTTCAAACTACGCTGATCTGATAAGGGTCATCATGGGTTAAATATAGCCCCGAGCTAACCACAGGCCTTCCTTTGACCTTGTAGGGTTCTGCGGGCTGCCCAGGCCTGTTCAACATGCTAGCGTCACCGCATATTCATACCCCGTGGGGCAGAAACTGCAGTACAACTGTCTGCGAGGCTATGACGCTCGACCCCCAACCTCTGCCATCACCACATGTGAAATCACGACAAAGTGGACCACACTACATCTGCGGTGCACCAATGACAGTAAGCATGCCGGTTATTCATACGCTGGTGCGATGGGACGCCGTCACATTCACAGACCCCAATGAGCAGGGATCCCATTTTCTCTACTTTAAAAAGAGCCCCAATTTTGGGTTAAAAAAAAAGTAACCCCAAATCCACATTTTTTTTTTCCATGATTGAAATGAAACATCACTAATATAGAGATATGTACAGACTTGTGCTGCATTTTGATCATGGGAAGATGTGGATTTGGGGTTACTTTTTTTTTAACCAAAAATTGGAGATTTTTTTTTTTTTAAATTAGAGAAAACCAGGATCCCTGCTGATGAGCAAGTTGTTGGCTCCAGTTCATTTTCACTTTCCCTAGACCAAGTGCCATCCCTTCTCTGTCCAAGAGCTAGCTGCGAGCCAGGGCCCCAGCTGGATGGAGCAGTAGGGTGAGGAGCATGCTGACCAGCAAGCACAAAGATCAGGCCAGTGCCTGGCTCTGCCTGACTGTGGTGCACGTGTAGTGGAAGAGGAAGGTATAAGGGACTGGGATGCAGGTGGTCTTGCCTAATGGTTATACCACTGAGAGAAAGTAGGGGTCTGGGGCAGAGGATGGGAGCCATATTACCAAATCCACATGGAAGTCCAGGGGCAGAGTCCACAACTCAGATCAGGATCCAGAGTCCACGGGATAATTCACAGAGTGACATCCAAAAGCAGAGTCAAACCAGCATCAGGACCAAACAACAGATCCAGTGGGAAATCCAAAGCCGCTGTCCAAAACTAAGCCAAAGCCAGGGCCAGGAACCAGGAAAACCAGGGAGCAGGAACCAGGAGGCTTCACAGCAGAGCTGTTGGCTGGCCTGCAGAGCCAGGGCTAGGTGGATAGGCAGCTCTCCCAGCAGCCAGTCGAGATGCTCGCAGTTCCTAAACTGCAGCAGAGCTCACGGCAGGTGCGGCTCCTGAAGCACTTGGCCCAGGCTGGGCTGCCTGATCAGAGTCCCTACCAGAAGGGAGATCTCTCTTAATGAGGCTGGTGGAGCTGTGCAGCATGGTGGGGATCACAATGCATGACGCTCTCTGGACCATCATTTAACAAAGCTTTCCAGACGGTGTTTCGATCGGAGAAAACTGTGGTACCGTTTAGCCCTGGTCTTTTTGGAGCTGATTGAGCTGGGCTGGCTGGAACCCAGCTACCACTGCAAAACCTGCTTCTCCAGTACTTGAGCTGCTTAAAACCCACCAGTAAGCCCATCTTCCACCCCCTTCCACCCCGGCAGACATCATCCTTGTATCGAGGAATAGCTGATGATGATGACTTGAGCAGTGCGACTGGAAATCGCATTACTATAGATGCACACTTCACTGCTTCCCAGTCCAGCAACATGGACTGCCGGTTCTCCCCCATCTCCACCGTGCACCAGAACTACATCACTCATGTAGACAGGAAACGTTGCAGACCTTTGCTATGGCAATGCTTTTGCAGAGATGTCACAGGCAAACCTAGCCAAGGTGCCTAGACAGGCCCCAATGACCCTATTATACGAGCATCTCTCAGTGGTTGGGGTATTCTTCTCACAATATACTGGGGGGGAGATGGTTTTCCCCATGTCATAGGTGGGGGGTTGAGGCACAGCCAGCCGACACCATTGCTGAAGATCTCACAAAGTCTGCAGCAGAGCAGGGATCTGAACCTGGCTCACGAAAGTCTCCCGCACTGGAGAATCTGCCTCCTCCAATCTGATGCATAAAAGTATCGAGGCTCTTAGCTGGCTCTCTGTTCACTAGAGCATGCAGCTTCCGTTACACCCAGCATGCTGCTCCCAGAGGTTTAAGAAACAGGCTGGACCACAGGCAGCTAACCCGTGGCATGAGTGCCGCAAGCAGCCCAGGCCGCCCCTGTGTGAAGTGCATGGCAGATTAGAGAAGGGGCAGGTAGCACAGGGGCAGGTAGGGCAGGCAAAGCAGCCAATTAGGCAAGGAGCACAGGGAAGGAAGCAGAAAGCAGAGCAGCAGATCGGGCAGGGACCACACGGCTGGGAGCAGAAAGCAGAGCAACAGATGGGGCAGAGGATGGGAAATCAAAGTGGCACTTGGGGAAGGCTCAGGGCTAACTATTGGCATGCCTCCCAAAAAGGCTGGCCCCAGCTAAATTAGACAAACACTTATCCGGGGTGGTTTAGATGGGGATGATCCTCCCTGGAGCAGGGAGCTGGATTCGGTGTGACCTCCTGAGGTCCCTTCCAGCCCTCCTTGTCCATGGCTCTAATAGTGCTGCCCACCGGAGAGGAGGGGTGAGGGGCTGTTTAAGCCGCAAACACAGCATGCAGGGCAGGAGCTGCCAGTTCAGCCTGACCGCATCTGCCCTACATTACCGCTCGGGTGCTCGAAATGAACAGCCCTGGAAGCCGCCCATCAAGAATAAACAGGAATTTGCTTTTGTTACAGGTACGGCCGATCCAACTCACATTACACCTACAACGCATCCCGCGGCAGGTACATCAGAGAGCGTAACTTGGCTGGGGGAGGGGGGTTCCCATACCTTTGGGCCAGATACTTTCCCTCTTCACATGGTGGCTGTACCCGAAAGGCTCAGCACTGGCCAAAACCACATGATTTCTTGGCTTCTCTCATTACTGGCGGCTTCGGAGAAAAAAACACACCCCAACATAACTCTGAACCCCTGTCTCCTGAGCCCTAGGCTAATCTCCTTACCCGTGCAACAGCTGCTCCCCTCAATCTGAAGGCCTGCACTTGCACTCAGTTCCCTGAATAGGCAACTCGCATCATAGTCACCGATAGCATGCTCATGCCCAAGGGAGTCAGAAAAATCAGTAAAGAGGTATCTCTCTTTTCTTTATAGGCGTAGCCGATCTGTCCCATTTTCCACCTATGAAGTTTCCAGTAACAGGTACGGGAACCAATGTGTTATCTGGGGGTGCGGAGAGGGGGAGGCGCTTCTCCCAACCCTGAGACAGACCCAGGAAGACGCGGCTCCTATCCTACTCATCCATAGCAGGCGACAGGCAGCGCAAACCCTCGGGATGGAAGTGTTGATTAGTTGTTTAAACAGCAAGCAAAGCAGCTATTGCCAAGGTGTGCAGGGAACGAGCTGTCCGATCCAACCAGCCCGTGACCTAGACATGAGCAGACCCGCTCAGTGGAAGCCGCACACCAAGAGCAAACAGGAATCTCATTGCAGGCCCAGCGGATCCATCTTATTTTGCACCCCCAACGCTTCCAGTAACAGGCACATCAGACAGAGCTCGTTAACTGGGTCGAGGCAGGGGGTCCCCCCATTTTGAGAACTGGGAGAAACTGTTTATATCACAGCCAACACCATCAGCTAGCAGCCGGTCTCACACCAAGAGGTAATGGGTTGTTGAAGAAGCAAAGGTGGCACTTTCGATCGCCACGTGTGTAGTCAGGTCTCAGATATAGCTTGGCCTCGCCGCTTTACATTGCTGCTTGGATCATAGGAATGGGCAGTAGCTATCACTGGAAAGAGTAAATCAACATAAATCTCTCATCTCTTTACAGTGACGACTAAGCCGTTCCATTTGACATGTAGGATGGCTGTAATAACAGGTACAACCGAGGTCTTTAGGGTAGAGCTGGTCATTCTCCCTCCTTCCAGTTTTCAGTCCTAGCCTGTTCCAGTGCTTGACCACTATCAGAGGCAGAAAGTCCCTGCTGATCTCCAATCTAAATTCCCATTCCTGTCCTCCACAGCCACACAGAAAAGGCCATTTCCAATCCATCTTGGTAATCACCGTTCAGGCATTTGAAGACTGTTATCAAAGCCCTCCGCAGCCTTCTCTTCTCCAGACAAAATGACCCTAATTTATCCAGCTTTTCTCATAAATCATGCTTCCCAAGTCTCTAATGATCTCATTTTATGTACTAGGCTACAAACCTTGAAGGGGGGAGAGAAATGATTTACAGGGTAGCTGCAGTTGTAAGCATTGAAGCTTTTTAGGGTGCAATTTTGAAAAGTGCCTACAGGAGTAGATTTAGCTAGATTTTTTTTTTTTGAGGGAGTGAAATAGTAAATTGACTGAAACATGCAGGTTTGGGGACTCATGAGAAAAAATCTCTGAAAATTTAAGTCAGATTACAAATTAATTTCATACAGAAAAAAAAAAAAGATGGGTGAGGGGCAAATCCCAGAAAACATCTTCTAGGAGAAAGCATATTAACGTCATTTGTCGGCATTAGTCTAGTTTCAAAAATTGGCCACCTCCTATTGAAAAAAAACCCAAAACCCCAACATCTGGGTAAAAAAGGATGAAATGACCTAAAAATGAAATGTTTCCTTTCACAGCGAATGGAACATTTTGGTCCATCTGAAACATTTCCTCCCCAATATTGTGGTTCAGGTGCCAAGACAAAAAAGAAAAAAAAGGTTATTTACTGAACTTTAGTTTGAAGGACCGCTCCCACTTCGAGTCCACTGGGTCATGATGACTGTGATCCTTACTGGGCTGAGGTCAGGGTCAGAGGCAGAAGCAGCTGCCACCCAAGGGAACTAGTACAACTACGATCATCCAAACCAGAGGCCATCTCTGCCAAGTGTCTAATTAGTTATAACCTAATTAGGGACCCAAGCTGCCTCTCGCTGTGGATTCCTGATCCCCGCTGGGGGCTTCTCGGTGCTACTGTCATACATAACAATGAGCAAAGTTGGGGAGTGAATAGCATCCCTGGGGCACAGGTACCCCCATAGATACTTTGCAATGCTGAATGCTGTTAGTCTGGAGGTCTCTCCTATATAACCTCTCTTAGACCAGAGGTCAAAAGCTGTGCAGTTGTATGTTGGTGAGAGGTGAGCTCCTAGCCCAGATCCTACGGCCACTTTGATCAGTCAGCTTTGGGAAAACCATAGCAATCACACTGCGGTGTTTCAGTTCATGCTTTCTGCTCACTCCGATCTTTGTCTTTTTTAGCTGTTACGATCTCTGTCGTGTTGCTGAGTGTCTTCATCTCTGCGGGGTGGATCTTCGCGAAGTATGGTGAGTAGCAAGAGTTAGTTAACTCTGAAAATCCCTGTGATGCAAGGAGTTATGAGCCAAATCATTCTCCTTGACCATAAGCAGCCCAGGCTGGATTTGTGGCTATCTCCTTTGGCATCAGAGGGCTGACCGTGCTTTTCTTTTCCCTTCAATATATAAAATACAGTAAAAAAGAAAAGCACAATTGAAAGCACGTTAAGGTTGAGGTGGAGACATAGACTTGCCATCCATGTCGTCTTGCAATCCTTGTTATCTTGAAGATGAATCTGTCAGAGTGAGGTGTCACTGAGGGGAACCGCACAGCTGAGTGGGAGAGCGCTCTGAAGAGGAAATGAAGTTTAATCTATGCAAATGTGAAGGATTTCAAGTAATTAACATCTCACATAATTTTGTCTCTAGCTAATCTCTGAGAAGCATGGCTGCTTTCATTTACCTTAACTGCTCTCCATGCCTCAGGTTTAGCAATCAAGTTCTGACTAAATTCCTTCCCATGTTTATTGATGCCACATTCATTTATTATACCAGTTTTGCTGCTTCTGCTACATTATTGCTGAAGTCGGACTATAATGCAAGCCAAACACTTCCTTACTCCCCACTCTTAGAAAACCTCTACAGTAATAGCTCTACACAACTCTTTCCTTTCAGCCCCCTTAACACTAGGTCCTGAGAGCCAGACAGCTCTGAACACAACATTATCTTTGATTAACTAAGGAAAACCAGCATGGATGGTTTTAATACTTCTGCAAGCAGATGTGCTAAGACCAAAGCCGCATTTGCAAACCACCCTCATTTACAAGCCACTTCCACTGAACACTGTTTAATACAGAGTGAAGAAGGGTCTGGTAAAGCAATGCAGATGTCTAATTTGGTTTAATGACACATGCAATCACCGGGATCCCACAACAAACACTTACGACCTTGCATGGATTTGCCAAATGCAATTTAGTGCCGGGCAAATGGCGGCGAAAACAAAATGCAACCAAACTTTTTGCTCATTTTTGTTATTTGCCCTCATTGTTTGAACTGTTCTCCCCACTTCCTGACACCATCAGGAAGTTCTGAAAGCAAAATTGCCACAAGCTATAGGAGAAATCATGTGCTGAGAAAGCCTCCGCTGCCTGGATAGAAAGCAAGCCAAGACAGCGTAAGAGACTTTTGCCATAGTCTTACACACCTGGGAAGTTTGCCCTGTATGCTTAAAAGACCACACTTCAATCTCAGTTAACTCCGCAGGCCAAATCCAGATCAACTCCACAGAAGCTGAACTCAAGTTTCCCTATACCACTGAAATGGATATGGGATGTTATGGGGAGAGGCACAAGGGCTTTTGCTGGAGATGACTTCTGCTGCCCTGTTGGTGTTGGGTCAAGTGCACATTTCAAAAGATATGGTTGGGCTCTTGCTCAAAAAGCCAATCACTCCGGCCTTCAGCTGTCACCTGGAGTTTCCCAGGTTGTGGGAGGTTTACAAGGGGGGTGGCAGCAAGACAACTGCAGCTGATGGATATTAAGCCTGAGTATAGGACTGAAACTTTATTTGTCACCTTGGTTATGATCGCTTAAACAAAGGGAGGAAGATCATGTACCCTCTCCTGAGTCCTTCAGATCAAAGGGGCTTGATGATGATCAGTAACTTGGAGGGTGGTTGGGGCTGCTTTTGAGGAACTCTGCTCCATCCTTTTAAGAACCCCCAAAAGATGGCATTGGCCAATCTCTATGATCTCTCTGGAAGGACTCCCACCTGTATCCACCCTCCCTTTTAACTGTGTATTGAGAACGGTTGGTAGCGGGCAGTTAAGAAACACAAGTACCGTGTCCAGTTTTGGGCTCCCTGCTACAGAAAGGATGTGCACAAATTGGAGAGAGTCCAGTGGAGGGCAATGAAGATGGTTCGGGGGCTGGGGGACATGACTTGTGAGGAGAGGCTGAGGGAACTGGGCTTAATTAGTCTAGAGAAGAGGAGACGGAGGGGAGATTTAATAGCAGCCTTCAACTACTTGAAGCAGGGTTGCAAAGAAGATGGAGCGAGACTGACAGAAGAAGGAGCAATGGTCTCAAGTTGCAGCAAGGGAAGTTTAAATTAGATATTAGGGAAGACTTTCTCACTAGGAGGGTAGTAAAGCACTGGGACAGGTTACTCAAAGAGGTTGTGGACTTTCCACCCTTGGAGGTTTTGAAGACCTGTCTAGATAAAGCCTTGTCTGGGATCATCTAGTTGGGGCTGGTCCTGCCTTGAGCAGGGGGTTGGACTAGATGTGACCCCCTGAGGTCCCTTCAACCCTCATTTTCTATGACTCTCTGATCCTAAGTTCCAGGGTCCTCAGCTCTGGGGTCCCTTATTCTCCTAGAAGGCCTGATACCATTTAAGTTGAAAGGTGATCGAGGTCTGGATTAGAGGCAGGTAGGTAGGTTCGGTCCTGATGAGACTCATAGGCTGCCTACGAAAGGGTGGAAGCAGTTGGCAGAGGTGTTCCTGCCCTTTGTGTGGCAAGCAGGTGCAGCCTTATTCTTTTGCATGCCAGATCTCAGCCATTTTCCATGCCCTGAGATTTGCTACCACATTGCTTGGCAAAGGCAGCCATGACTGATTGCTAAGTAGAGAGGTGGTTAGCCCTGTTAGGCTGAAGTCAAGCAGAAGGTAGGGCAGTGCGACACCTTAGGAAGGAGCTGGTTCAGAAATGCATACATTTTCATAGGCGACGGCCTACTTCATCAGATATGAAAGCTTATGTCTTTCTGGACTAGATGGCCTCTGGAGGTCCCTTCCAACCCTACTTCTCTATGATTCACTGAACTGGTTAGTCTCTAAAGTGCCACCTTACCCTGTCTTCTGCCTGATCACTATGCAACAAGTCTTATACAGAAAGCATGTCTCCCTGGTGCTGTGTGGTCTCTGATTATTGACCAATTCCAGCCTTACACTTAGGATACTAGTTTACATTTTTTTAAAAATCCTAATTGTTCATTTATGTAAAAGCAACGTTAGGATCTAAGTGCCAGGGACCAAATGGCAACAAACCCCACTCCCTTATCCTCTCCAAGAGAGAACATTAAGAGAAACGTATGATTTTGACACCCTGTCCTGTGATTTTAGTGTATTGCTACAGGACAAGAAAGAGGAGCTTTGTAGAAGATGCAAATATTAAGATGGCCAATTGGACAACCTCTTCTCCAACTGCACCAGCAAGACAAGAAGTAGGAAGTGAGGAAGAAGGTCAAAGATTCAAGTTGAATGTCTGAGGGGGGAGATGATATTTTGCTTGAAGGTACATTGCAGAGGAATGCTTTTGACCACAACCAACAGCCAAGACGTCTTAGCTTGCACTGGCTGGGAAAGCCTTACAGTTTGCCGAATACAGGCCGTACAGAATCATTACCAGAAAAAGAAAATGCTCACTTTGATACTGTTTGCTGGAAGGGTCTTCCCTCCCCGTCCATCCCCTACCACTGGTTTGACTGGTTTGTTAATTCTAATGAGTTATTCTTATTCCATATCCTTGGCACTTATGTGTGTGTATATATATAAATATAAATATATATCTATAGCTATATATAGCTATAGATATATATTTACATGGCTTGAATTGAATCCTGTTGGGATAAGCCTTACTTATGTATATCTTTATTAAGATGGGTAGGTAATTTTATGGTTTCAGTGAATAATATGATCCATGTACAGACATTTTCCTTTACAAAGCTATTATTTTGTGGTGGGAAAAAATATCTCCTGTGCTTGTGTCCTGGATGGGTTTCTTCACACCAAGCACTGATACAGATTACTCATTCCTACAGAGTCTGACCTTCTTGCTACCTGCTGCTGACAGCTCCTTCAAACATCCACTGCAGATGGGTTGGGCATGCACACACTATTGCTGGAAACTGGTCTTCCACAGGGTGTCTTGTCCTGTTCCAGATAGTTCAAGGGGAAAGGCTAATAGTACACCTGTCCCTAACGTGCATAGGACAGTGCAAAGTTACCCAGATAAGATGTCCTGTGTCCCCAACTGATTTGGCATTTGTCCCCTCATTCCCCAGCCTGGCTGACCCATGAGCAACCTCTACTCAGCCTGTTCTTCATTTCTGAGCCTTGCTACTGAGGTTGGTGGCTTGATAATAAAGCACTATTAAGCCAGTGTGGACTGGTGGGAGGAGAAGCAACTTTGTGGTAATACCATCCTGAGTTTTATTATCCCTAATTATCATTAAGTGCCATATCTCACCATGTCTACACGAGGAACAGCTTCAGTGAAATACCCAGAGCTATTTGAGAAGAGCTAATATGCAGCTATAGCTTTATTATTATTTATTCTTGAGCATTCAGAAGCAAAGTGGGCACTACAAAGAAACACGGCATTGTCCTTACCTAACTGGTTCATAGTCAAGCTAGTCTAGGGTATTTATGATCTACTGACCACAGAATTGCAGGCTCACCCTTCTTCCTCTAAGCTGTTCTCGACCTTGCGGTCACTCACCAAACCCACATAAACTATCAGATGGGATAGCTCAACCCCTTCCCCATGCTTCACACACGTTAGACACCACTGGCATGGCTCACTTGATTCATAAATTCCTGCCATTTCTGCCTAATGCAGTGTGGCAGATGGTAGGAACAGGAGGCCTTCAGTAGCCTTGAGGTCTTGCCAGTCATTTGGCTTTCTACCAGGCAAAGCCTTTCTTCCTGAACTGCAACAAGTCACCTGTATCTACAATATGCCTGGTGAACAGAGCCTCTCCATGCCTTCAGGGATTGTTTGAAGTATTTGTTTATCCTTTTCACTTTGCTAATAGGGTTGAATGCTTCCCTCCTTTAGCTAATAGCTATTAGATGTCCTTTCAGGACTGTCCAGGAGACCCTAGCCAGCTGTCTTGGTCAGACCAGCTCTTCAGGGCTAGGACTGTACCCAAGGCCTTCATCCTTTGGTGTGCTCTATGGCCAGACTCGATGTCTACAAGGATCCCAGCTGAAGTCAACAGAGCTTTACAGGAACCAGTGGCAAGGAGGTCTGGGGCTCTGAGCACTGCTAATCCTCAGAGACAATGGAGGCAAGACTTGATGTACCGTCATTTATCCTAATAAAGCATAGGGTGCTTTCTCTTTATTTACACAAGCTCATTTTCCTTTGTAGTGAATGAATAAATGCAGAGAAGACTTTGTGACTCAGGTGAAATTCAGTCATTAGTCTTACCATTTCTACTCCATGGGAATTTTGAGTAATTACAATTAAAATAAATTATTGCTAATTCCTGCAAGCCGGAAGCCATGCTTTTCAGGCTGCTCTAGTCAGAGACATGGGCTTGAGTCTCCCCTTGTAAGACTAAGTAGAGTAAGCCCTTTATCTTCAATAAAGTCAACTCAGCTTTAGACTGGTCCGAGAAAAGATTGCCACAGAGCCCTTATGACACTTCTCCATAGATCTCAAGGTGATTTACCAATGGGGTCACTATTCCCCTCGGCCCCTGGGTTCAAGTAGACAGATGCCATTGGTACAAGCAATGCGTTGTTAAACTGGGCAGGAGTATTTTCCAGAGGAAGAAAATATTGGCAGGATTCTTGGATTCCTGGCTGAGAGGGCCGAAAGCATTGCTTTTTTGCCGTTCCACAGAAAAAGGTGAATTCGCTGCAACATCGCAGAAGAAATGCAAAACTCTAGGACTCTTGGTTCAGAGATGATACCTTTTATCAGACCAATTAAGAAATCACAAAAAAATTATATTTTTCTGCAAGCTTTTGGTCACACACACCCTTCCTCAGGCTCAGGGAAAATTAAAGGTGGTACAAAGTCCCCATAGGTGAAAAATAAACTTCATTTTTGCAGAGGAAGCTGAAGGTGGGAGTCTGTTGCTCTGGGGCCATGAGAGTGGTTTTTATTTTCTACCTTTTGTTTGCCATTTCATTGCTCCACATCAGTACAGCATTCAAGGCTCTAACATAATGCAAAATAAGTTTAATGTACCCAGATCAGCTTTGCCAGGCTTTGTTTTCCAAATGCACATTTAAGCAGTTATATTAACCCACTGTGCCCAACTGCACTGCTCACTTGTTAAATGCTTCAGCACCTTTGAACCTCCTTCACACTGAACCTCACACTTGAGAGAAGTTTTTGTTTACTACAGTCAGATGTGCAGCTACAGCTAGCCAAGTGCATGCTCAAACCTCCTTTGAGGAACAGGAGACAGTGCATTTTACAAGAAGCAGGACTAGCTTCTGTAGGTGCAGGCAAAAACTAATGCCATACTCTCACCCCTTCCAGTCGTCGCTCCCTGGAGAACCTGAGCTAGACCAAACATGGGAAGAGACTGAAAGCTTCTTTATATCTATCCTCATGGTGTAGAAGAACCTATGAATTTAAACTCACTGGTCATGTCTACACGTGCATTTATGCCGGCTTAAATTTACTACACAGTAAGTTACGGCAGAGTAAGCAGGAGTAGGCCAGCATGTACACATGCAGGTGTTAAACTGCATTAACTCTGTGTGTGGACTGACTTGGGACTAACTTTAGTCCCAAGTCAGTCCACACACACTGTTACTGTACAGCAAGTTATCTACACATGCATTACTGTGCAGTAACTAATCGGTTGTAAATTTGATACCTGCATGATGCAGGCCTCCCCGCAACAGGCCTCCCATTACCCTCCCTTGCAGCTCACATGCCAGCCTCCATGGCCTGAGCAGCAAAAGGCCTCAAGAGCTGGCTTCCTTCCTATGGAAATCACAGGGAACTGTCTGTATGAAGGATGTCTACACCACTTCCCTCCAACCCCAGCCCTGCTGCCAACCAAATAAGCATTGGCCACTCGGAGACCCAGAGCTCATTGTCTTGGAGAGCCTGACAATGAGGTGGAGAAGGGGTGCTCAGGTTCATGCTGAGCTTCTTGGGGCCCAAGCCATCTGCTCTGCCTGCCTGCTAGCCCCTAGTTTGCCCGAGCAGGTGTGAGTAGGTGGGGCCTATTTTGTCATTAGAGGACCCAGGATTGGTCAGAAAGTCATATAAACTCAGCCCAGCAGGTAGTCTCATGTGCGCTATGGTCCATTTCTCCCACTCATGCACCTGGTACTTTTACTGCTCCCCTGTTTTGTGGGAACTCCTAAATAAAGCGCACATCCAGAGCAAGTCACTTACTGCCCAAAGGAACTTGCTTAATGATAGCGACCCCACAGTGCAACAAGGACCACTGTTATTTTGATGAGGGACACTTGAACCTCAGCTGCTGTCAACCTGACCCTGACAGAAAGATTTCCCCCTTCACCCTGACGAATGTGGTGTCATAGTATGGGGCACTCGGTGACAGAGGAGAAAGAAAAGAGAAGAAAGACATAAGGGAGGAACCTACCCTGGAGATTTGCAAAAGAAGACTGGATGCACACCTAGTTTCATAGTTTCATAGTAGCTAGGGTCAGGAGGGACCTGGACAGATCATCTAGCCTGACC